GCTGTGTCCAAGGGAATGAACTTTTATTTATTTTTATCTATTTTTTATTTTATTTTTACTTTTAAAGATTTTACTTATTTATTTGACAGAGAGAGAAAGAGCACAAGCAGGGGAGTGGCAGGGAGAAGGAGAAGCAGACTCCCCACCGAGTAGGGAGCTTAACACGGGACTCGATCCCAGGACCCCGGGATCATCCTGAGCTCAAGGCAGACTCTTCACCCACTAAGCCATCCAGGCGCCCCTATTTTTGTTTATTTTTTATTTCTAAGTAATCTCCACAGCCAACAAGGGACTCGAACCTATAACCCTGAGATCGAGAGTCACAGGCTCTGCCAACGGAGCAGCAGGTGTCCTGGGAATCTTTTTTTTCCCCCAAAGACTTTATTTATTTGACAGAGAGTGACACAGCAAGAGGGAACACAAGCAGGGGGAGAGGCAGGCAGAGGGAGAGGCAGATTCCCTGCTGAGCAGGGAGCCGGATGATCCCAGGATCCTGAGATCATGACCTGAGCCGAAGGCAGAGGCTTTAACCCGCTGAGCTACCCAGGCGCCCCTGGGTGGGGGTTGCTGACTGAAGTGTTGGCAGGGGCTCGACAGGTCTGTATGACACATGGTGCACTGGAGCGTGACCTTCCTCCCGAGACCTTCAGGGGCTGCCAGTTCTGCATCCCCGGTTTGCACTTCAGGACGGGGTACCGTCTCTCCGCCTTCCCTACAAACCCCCGGAGGCCCCTGATTGGACCTCCAGGTGGCCTTGAGGCTTCAGGGTAGCATCACTGGGGCTATGGGAGGCTGTGGGGTGGGACCCAAGTGCCAGTAAGTTTCAAGCTCCCCAAGAGGATCCTGTTTGCAGTCGGGGTTTCAGAATCCTGGCTCAGGGCTCTTACTAGAACGCAGATCCAGATTCGGTGTGAGCCACGCTGAGATGCTGCATTTCCAGCGAGTGCCCGGGGGGCCCCAGTTCCCGCAGATGCGGATGCGGATGCTGATGCTGACTTCAGGCCTATGACCATCAGGCCCAGCCAGGTCGATGGGCATTCAGCAATTCTCACCCATCCGAGAAGCCCTGAAGCCTGGGTGAATTTAACAGATCCACAAGATTCTTGGCTAAATCCTTTGTGGGCCTAGTTTGAGAAAGGACCCTGTAGGAAAGCACAGGGTGCTGTGGGGAACAGTTAGAACCCTGCATGTGAGAAGGTAGGATGTTAGGGAGTCCCTAATTCCTTTGGCATCCCTGGAAGAAGGGTAGGAAGCAGAGATGTGGGATGAGGCCAGATAGATTAGAAAAGCATGCCAGGGGCATGTTGCAGACGTGTTCACCCAGTGCATGCTTACTGGTTTGCTAGCCATGCCTGCGGGGACCGTAGTTGGGTCGGGCGGGGGGGAGGGGCGGAGAGTGTGCGGAGACGGAAAGACCCAGGCGCTTGCTTCACTTTACGGTTTGTGGAGTGAGTGGGGAGCTTGGTGATGGGGAGCCCAGGTAGTGGGGAGGCAGGAAGGAGGTAGAGGCTTTGGAATGTGGGGGCTCTAGACTTGTCTTTAGAGCCTCAATTTCCCCCTCAGAGGAAGTGGGATAATTAATACTCACCTTTCTGGAGAGGTCTGAGCGCTAAGCGCAAAGGAATGGGTGAAGTCCCTGCACAGCGTCTGGCAGAGGCCTACTGGAATCTGAGTTGCTAACCTAAAAGGAGCAGATTCGGCCTAGGGACTGTGATCCCACTCAGGGGTCCCCACCACTCTCAACGGGAGGAAGAGGGAACCTCCAAATGAGGGTGCTAGCCAGAGGGGGAGAGCAGGGGCAGAGTTGACGGAGCTGGTGTGCCCTGAAGGGGAGGAGTGGCCTAAAGCAGAAGCCACGGAGAGTGTGGGATGCCCGGGTACAGGCCCTGGGTTGAATCACCCAAAGAAAGATAATGCAGGTGTTCCTTCGCACTTACAATGATCGCACGCCGTGTGTTGATTGGCTGAGCTGCCCTAACGAACTACCGCGGATGTCTTAAATGGCAGAAATTTATTCCACAATTCTGGAGTCTGGAAGCCTGACGACAAGGTGTCTGCAGGGCTGGTTTCTTCTGGGGCGTCTCTCACATGGTCTTTCCTCTGTGTGTGTGTTCTTAAAAGGACACTGGGTTGCACTGTGTCAGGGCCCACTATAATGACCTCATTCCAACTTCATTACCACTTGGAAGACCTGATCACCAAATAGAGTCACATTCTGAAATCCTGGGGATTAGGACTTCAACCTGTTAATCTGGGGGAGGGGCACAATTCAACCCATAAGACACCCTAACGGTGATTTGTTCTTTGCGTTTTGACTTCCTAGGACACCTGACCTAAATTTGTCTTTGCACACACAAGAAGACAGGTTGGGCTAAGACATCCGACTTAGCTCAGCTAGCACGTGAGGCAAGATTATGGTGCATTTGAAGGGCGCCTGGGAGGCTCAGTCATTTGGGCATCTGCTTTCAGATCAGGTCATGATCCTGGGGTCCTGGCATTGATCCCTGTGTCGGGTTTCCTGCTCAGTGGGGAATCGGCTTCTCTCTCTCCCCTCTTTTGCTCCTCCTCACTGCTTGTTCTCTCTCTCTCAAGTAAGATAAAATCTTAAAAAAAAAAATGTTCAAAAAAATTACAGTGGATCTGAGGCACTAGGAATTTAAAGCCCCCAGCCTCTTCCCTACAGGAGGGGAGCACACCATCTGGGGGCCACTTGTAGATTTAGATCTGTGCTTAATGCTTGACCAAGGGTCGCTTGACATACTGGAAGAAATTAATACCAACATCAGGCTTCACTTCACATCAACGGCATCAGAATCTCTGGGCAGAGGCCTGGGTGACTATACTGAACGCTCCCCCGGGGGATGCTAATGTGCAGCCTTTGCAAAATGTGTGTTGAAGGTGAACGTGTGCGTGGATGAGTGTGAATGTCGGTGTCGTTCACCCAACTCACTGTGCCAGGCACTGGGCTTGCCCTGGGGGTCCACTGGTGAAAGAGAAGGACTTCATGTGGTTTTTTAGTTGGTACATTTATTTTTCTTATTTTGAAGATTTTACTTGAGAGAGAGAGAGAGGGAGAGAGAGAGAGAAAGAACTAGAGGGGTGTGGGAGGGGCAGAGAGAGAGGGACAAGCAGACTGCCCGCTTAGCAGGGAGCCCAACACAGGACTTAATCCCAGGACCCTGAGATCATGACCTGAGCTGAAGGCAGACATTTAACTGACTGAGCCACCCAGGTGCCCCCAGATAGTACACTTATTTGAAAAGTACTTAGTACCACTTGGCTAGCCCCAGAGGAGAGGCAGTGGTTAAAAGAAATCACGTTTATTAACCAGTATGTGTCAAGCACTATTCCAAATGTGTTGTTTTACCACAGATACAATCATTCCCATTTCACAGATGAGAAGATGAAGTCTTAGGGCAAAGAAACTTGCCTTAAGTTATTAAAATAACTTAATATTAAGTTATTATTATAAAATAATAACTTAATAAGGTGGTGGAGGCCTGGAGCCCTGAGTGGCCTGGGCGAGGCTTCTGTGGGGAGGCAGGGGGTAGTCCCAGATGCTTCAGGGACTAGCGGTTTGGGGACAGACAATGCCTCCATTTGTCTAAAGAGTGGCCCCAAATGTGTGTAAAAGCATTTTTCAATTTGTTCCTAACTTGGGCAATGGATTCTTAAAAATACCAGCAGGAGCCATTCAAATGAGTAATACATTAAAAAAGCAGCTTAGTCCACTTAGGAAAAACTTGAAAATATATTTCAGGACTTACTCTACTGTTTCGTGCATAGAGAATGTTTCAGAGGAGACTTTATTTTGATTAACGTGCAAATGAGATTTTTCTCCCCCTATGCACTAGTCTAGTCCAGCAAATCGTTAATGAAATATCTGTGCTAATATGGCTTTTATAATTTGCATCACAAAACCCAAGTGCAGAGCAGATGGTGGCTAAAGATAAGTGGGGGGTAGAGTGGAACCCGGCTCAAAGCAGCTTGATCAGGACAGCGGCTCCGGCCTCTGTGTGAATGGGCCGTTGGGGACCCGGGGTGGGGGGTGGGGGGCCACTTCTGGTCTTGGTGGCCCGTCGGGTGAATCTTCCTCTTGGGGAATGGAAGGTCAAAGATGATGGTAGGATTCACCAGCCCCTAATCTCTTCTACCTTCCCTTTTATCACAAAACATTTTAACTTAGTGACGCTTGAGTGCCAAGCCACGTTATTAAGAATGACCTGGGAGGGACGCCTGGGTGGCTCAGTTGGTTAAGCAGCTGCCTTCGGCTCAGGTCATGATCCCAGCGTCCTGGGATCGAGTCCCACATCCGGCTCCTTGCTCATCAGGGAGCCTGCTTCTCCCTCTGCCTCTGCCTGCCATTCTGTCTGCCTGTGCTTGCTCTCTCTCCCTCTCTCTCTCTGACAAAAAAAAAAAAAAAAAAAAAAAAAAAAAAAGAATGACCTGGGAGTCATCACTCCTGGGGGTGATTTCAAAACAAGTATGCAGACAGCACACCGGGCTAGGCCTTCCCCGGGAGGACCTGGTTGCGCGAACCTGGCTGAGGAATTCTAGAGCCGCGGGAGGTCTACTGCCAATCGTTTCACAACTGTGGGACGAGGGACGGGATGGCAGGTGGACCGTCAGGACTTCAGCCTGGCTCTTCCCTCCATGGCCTTCGGCGAGTCACCGCCTGTCTGTCCTTCAGGAAAGGAGGGTTTGAATTAAGCCAGTATTTCTTCAAGTGTGGCTCCGGCTGAGTCGGTCTCTGGAGGTGACGCCCGGGGCGGGGGGTGGGTGTGTGCTTGGATCAGTCCGAGCCCCCCCGCCCCGCCCCGGCTCTCAGCACGCCTTCCTCGCCCGCTTGGGAGCCGGGGAGCCCGCCGGAGGTTCCAGATAGGGACCTGCCAGAAAGCGGCTCCCGCGGGTAGCGAGGTTCCCATTCCCCGCCTCGGGTCGTTAGAGCCTCTTGTGACAGTTGTCCCTCCAAATCAGCTCCTTGGACAGGGGAGGTGCCGTTAGCGCGGAGGAGGGGCTTCGAGCTGCGGGCGCAGGACAGGGCTCATCCCCAGGATGCAGCACCGCTCGGCAAAACCGGGTTTGGCCCGAGCCTCATGCGGGCTCGGGGCCCGGGGCCTCTCGGGGCGGCAGGGGGCGCTGTCTGCAAAGTTTTGCTCCCCGGACCCGACCTCGGGGTTCCGCGCCCCGCGCGAGCGCTGGGGGCCCGGGGACTGCGCCGGCCCGGGGTGGGGGGTGGGGGAGTGACCGGGGTGGCCCGGGGGTCGCCGGCGCTCCCAGGGTCCCTGCGCGGCAGAGCCGGGGCGGTGCGGGAGGTCCGGGGGCGGCGGTGGCCGCGCGCGGAATGCGGTGTGCTTTCGGGATCCTTGTTTTATTCCAGTGAAATATGCTCCTTGTAGGGGGCTGGAAAACGTAGAAAGCAAGCTCCCGCGGCTGCTCCCCGCAGAGCCGAGCGCGTTGCCGTGGGGACCCCGGGCGCCTACGCGTGGCTCTAGGGCTCGACCTTCTGGCTTGTCGGGGCTCTGCGAATCGCTTCCACCCTCCCAGAGCCCAGGCGCCGCCCGCTGCACCCCTCTGCACCCCTTTTCTTTACTGCGCAGAGGTGCGGGGTCCCGAGCAGCCTGGGCTCCCGCGGGCTTCCGCGCGGGGTCGGTGACCGACTTGGCAAGGGAGGGCCGGCTGTGCGTCCACCGGGCAGGGGACAGGGGGCGCTCTGACCCCACGGGAAGGGCCTCTTTCCAGGGCCTGCTGTGACCAGAGGGATTTGCAGCTTGAGGTCCCGCAGGAACGGTGCAAGCGTGGAGGGGTGCGATGGAGAGTACAGTGGCGGGTGGAGGGATGGTTCTCTGGCTTCTCTGCGCCTCAGTTTTTGTCCCAGTGGTTGGGGGACTGAGTTGTACAGTGAGTGGCGGGATGTGGGACCTGATGTTGGCTTGGCTGTGGCTATGGGTCATGGAGATCGTGACGGTCCTGTGCCAGTGAGGTCTGGCAGGCCCTGGGTGTGTGGGTGCCAAGGGCAAGGCCCGTGCCTGGGGCCCAGACCTGGGCTTGCCGCTGTGCTCCTGGACAGGAGGGAGAGGAGTGGGGAGCTGAGAGGAGTGATATCCCTCCTCCTCCAGGGAGGAGCCAGGTGCTGGGGGCCTGGTGGCGGTGTGTGTGGGCAAGCTTGCTCGAGGCTAGTTACCAGCTCCATGGGCTTGGACCAGTTTTCTCCTTTAGAAAACCCGAGCAAGGTGCTGGGTTGGGGACAGTGTGTTGCATTCTTGGTCCTGCCTCTCTCCCTCTCCGCCCCAACCTCTCCTCTGGGAATTCTCAAGCTCTGGAGGGCACTGGGATGGCCTGAGACTTGATAAACATGCAGGTGTCCTGGGCCCAGCTCCATAGGTGGGTTCTGTAGGTCTGGATGGCCCCAGGAATCCTGCTTCAAACAACCCTCCTGGGGTTGAGGACCCCAGGGGCCCCAGCTCTGGGCAGGGGGTTGCTAAGTTCATGGGGTGTAGGGGAGGTACCCATTCCAAACCCATTAACCTACAAGGCCTTGTCAGGAGTAAGGGATTTTAGTGCTTTGGGTTTGAAACTTTGGGCAGGACCTGACTTAGGAGGGCTCAGTGCTCCCTGGGCTTGGGGGGCCTGGGGGTCCTAATTCTAGGTTCACCTGCCCAGTGGCTGTCCCTGTCCCCATGGGTCTCAACCTGATGAGTGAGTAATAATCCTATCCTTCCTTCCTCATGGGGGCCAGTCATGCTCCAGACTCACTGACCACTCTAGCAGCCCTGCAAACTTGGTAGTTCCCAGACCCTGTCCCAGGGAGGTCGGGCAGCTCTTGGGGTCTTTAGACATGAGGCGTTGAGACTTGAGCCCTATGGAGTCTGGTACCCACACAGCCCAGATACGCATCGGAGTTAATGGAAACTCCAGACTCCATGCTCATGACTGCAGTGACCCCGTGTTCTCCAACCCAAAAGTGGCTGGGTAAGCAGGGCCCAGGGTGGGGCAGGGTCCAGCCCGGCCTAGAGGCCAGGGGTGGGGGACATGGCTTCATCCCGTGACTTCTGTGTCCCTCACCTGTTTCCACTGCGTGGGGCTGAGCCCCAGTCCCCAGGCAGAGTTGTGACCCCATGCCACCCCACCTGGAGTGTGGCCCTCTCTGGACAGCTTCTGCTAGGTTGCCTGTGGATATAGCCAGGGCTCTGTCCTGCGGTGAGGAGGAGTCTGCCCCCCCCCCCATTTGGAGGAATGTCTGTCTCAGTGGAGCCTTCTTTAGGCTGCCCTACCTCGAGGTGGGGGAGCTCTGTATCCTTGGGTGTGGAGCACGTTGGGCTGCGGGAGCGGCGCCTGCCTCCCTTTGCCAGAACTCGGTCTCCCCTCCTGCCTGGCCTTGACTGTTTGTGCTCCTCACCCCCAGAGGATGTTTGTTTGGGTTGACACACCCCTGCACACAGCCAGCCACAGGCACCTCTGTGGCAGCCAGACCCAGCCCTGCCCGGGGCCGGCCACTTCTCCAGAGGAAAACGCAGCCCCACAGGAGCGCCAGCATGGTCCTGGTCGTGGCTTTGAAGGTGGGAGCCAGGAGGCCAAGGCAAAAACTGCACGGCGGGTAAACAGCTGAGGACCCAGTTTGGCCTGCTTGGGATGAAGGCTGGCTACAAAGAGACTGTGAGGGATGCCCTCAAGCAGAAGGGACCCATTCAGTTCTCCCAGAACGGGATTTGCCTACTAATTAGGTGTGGGGGACCTTAGCAGTGGGTGGGCTGCAGGAAAGGCTGGGAGGGGTAGGGGAGCGGGGGGCCCTACTGCCGAAGAGCCGGCTGCCTCTGACTGGCTAGGACCCAAAGTCCGAACCCAGCTCGGCAGACCAGCTGCTCCCGAGCCATGCAGGGAGCTTGTTAAAAATGGCAATGCCCAGCTCCTTCCTGGGGGCCTCGGTCAGTTAAGCATCAGACTCTTGAGTTCAGCTCAGGTCATGGTCTTGGGGTTGTGGGATCGAGTCCTGTGTCGAGCTCCATGCTTGCAGGAAGTCTGCTTGAGATTCTCTCCCCTTCTCCGCCTGCCCCCCACCATCACGCGCGCTCTCTCTCTCAATAAAGAAAGAAAGAGAGAAAGAAAGAAATACACACCTTTTTAAAAAAAATGGCAATGCTGTCTCAGTCCTCCCCAGCGGGATGGCAAAACCCAGCCCTAGGTGGCAGGCTTAATATTCACCAGATGCCTGCCTGGTGCTCTGGGAGGTCCAGGCCATGCACACGGCTGCCCTCAACATCCTGGGTGACAGGGGCGGAGATGGAGACCCCTTTAGCCCTGGGGCGGCTGGGAGGGGCTCGGGACAGGAGGCAGCTCCCAAGCAGTGCGTTCCTCTGCTCAGTGCACTGTGCACGTAGCTCTCATTCTCCTTGTGTGGTTATGAGAACCCCGTGAAACAGCAGGTACTTTCATTCCATCTCATAGCAGGATGTTGTCCCCATTGCACAGGTGAGAACGCGGAGGCTCCACGAGGTTCACCAATTTGTCCAAGGTCAAATTTGTCCAAGGTCACACCACGCAGGGGCTGGGACTTTCTCCGTGAGTCTGCCTTCTGGAAGGTGGATGGGGCCTGGGCATGTGATGGAAAATTCCACAGCGACTGGACTGTGCTGCCCTGGGGGACCCATGGTCCCCATAACCTCTTGCTCCCATGGCAGGTGGCCTCACTGAACACAGGGCAAACGTCAGGGCCACGCAGGGCTCTAGGTGGGGGAAGTGAGGGAGATTCCCATAGATGTGCTGATCGATAGCATGAAGACAGGCCCCAGGGGGGTCCTGGCACTTCCTGGAAAAGGGACCCGATTTTGTGCAGGGATGCTGGCCAATGACCAGGAGTGGCAGCTGAGAGTCATTTCTAGACCTTTCTGGAGATGCGATTGCTTTTACAACAGCACTATCTTATTTGTTTAGAAATGGTCTAATGAATCTTGGTGACCATCTGGTGGGCTCATTCAGGGTCACCGACTTTGTGTCTACCCTCTATGCCTGGCATGGAGGCCGGCACCCAGCAGACACTGTGGAAGATAGTTTGGAGTACAGTAAGTGGGTCCCAGGGCCAGTACCAGGGGGAGCAGCTAGCTGCCGGCTGCTGGAGTGACTGCTGGGGTGAGCGGGGCAGGACAGGCCCACCAGAACCAGAGAGAGAGTGAGTGGGCTCTCAGACCCCACAGGGCTGAGGGGTCCTGTGCCAGGAGGGGTCCTAAGCAACTCCCTGCAGTACACTCGGGTCTGCATACAGCGTCCTGGTGACAGGTGCCTGGCAGTGGTGGGCAGACCCCTGCACAGAGGCCACACACATGGTGAATTCCCGTGTGAATTATTCCATGACCCACGTGAGGGGAGAGCTCATTCCCATTATTCTCTCTCAAGGACGCAGAAGAATGTGCTTGGGAAGGTAAAAAATGGGAAAGGTTTGCTCAGCTAGCGGATGGTTCCCAAAGCAATTCGCGATTTGGATTGAAAAGTGGGTTGCTGTTTCTCAAGCCGTCCCTTAAAGCCTGGTGGGTTTTTCCTTCCCGCTCGAGGTGGGAGAGGGATCGCGGCTGGGGCTCTGCGAGGCTGGGTGGAGCCGAGGAAGTTCCCCTGGGTGCCTGAGTCTCTGGAGAATCTGACAAATGCCTCAGTTCTGCCCCTGCTCTGGCTTTGAAGGAAGTGTCAGTGGGCAGATGGAGTCAAAGATGAGAGAGTCTGGAAATAAACCTATGACTTCCTCGACTCTAAGGTCTTACCCTTGAAACTAGAGAGTTTGAACTTCAGAGCTAGAAGACCCTACAGAGCCCTAGGCAGGAAGAGACTTCATCAACGATATGCAGGAAGTTGGTAACAGGAGCTGACCTTGAACCCAGGTCATGGGACTTCCAACCCAGTGGTCTCTCTGGAGTCGGAAATCAGAGTGAAGGAGCCTGGTTTGTGTCTGCTTTCTTTCAGACCCAAAACCTCATGTACTAATGACCTATCCACTCAACATGAGGAAGTAGATAATTTGGAAAAATTATCAAGTGACATGTTTCTTGCATCTGGGTGTCATGGAGCAAAGTCAGCCTTGTTACATAAATTAAATAGTATTTGTGGCTGACAGCTGCTTTATGAGGTCCGCAGGGTGGGCTCCTATGTCTCGGGTAGACCTATATGGTCCGAGGAGGGCGGGATTTTACTACGTCTGTTTTTTTTTTTTTTTTAAAGATTTTGTTTATTTATTTGTCAGAGAGAGAGAGAGAGAGCAAGCACAGGCAGACAGAGTGGCAGGCAGAGGCAGAGGGAGAAGCAGGCTCCCTGCCGAGCAAGGAGCCCGATGCGGGACTCGATCCCAGGACGCCGGGATCATGACCTGAGCCGAAGGCAGCTGCTTAACCAACTGAGCCACCCAGGCGTCCCTACTACGTCTGTTTTATCGATGAGAAAGCTGAGATTCAGACCAGCAAAGTGACTGACCCCAAACACACAGAATGTCAGAGGTGAAGCTGGGACAGCATCCCCCCCCCCAACTTTGTCCCTTTGTGATCCAGTGGTCCTCACTCTCTGGAGCCCTCTAGCTGGGGGGAATCCCCCCCATGCAGCTTTATAGCAGACTTTACAGGTGTTTCGGTTGAGAGCCGTCCGATCAAAAATGCGATGATCAAATCCAGAAAGTTTGGTCAGTGATGTGATGAAGAGAAGTGTCCACTCTCTGAGTACTGAATGACTTCATCTTGGACAACCATTGACAGATTTGTTTTCCTGGGACTAAGTCTCACCACGTGTTCTTTATGGTCACGTGCCAGCTGCTGGGAGTTTGGAATCCCTTCATAATCCAGCCAACCTTCCTGAGCACCTGCCACGGACACGGGGTGGCCGAGCTGGGTGTCTACAGAGAGCGCCCCGAGAGGCCAGGAAGCTGCCTTTAGCTGTTCATTGTCTGTCTGTCCTGCTCAGAGGCCTGGGTCAGGGGCACAAA